TGTGTGTGTGTGTGTGTGTGTGTGTGTGTGTGTGTGTGTGTGTGTGTGCGTGTGCGTGTGAGTGTGCGTGTGCGTGTTACGTGTGTGTTGTGTGTGTGTGTGTGTGTGGGGGGGTTTCTTCCTGTATTGTGGAAAGGGTACAAGATTGACACAGGCCTGCTGTCTCCTTGGGGAGGGACAGTGGCATCAAGAGTCTGCAGAGCCACCAGTAACCCACCAAAGTGCTGCTCTGTGGTGCCAGAAGGAATCCTCCCCCAACCCTTTCTCAAAGATGGCGGCCCCTCTTGTATTCCTAAAACAATATTTCAGGGTATCCACCCCCCACCCCCCCTATTTAATTCTGTTTCTTTTGTGACATTTTTATGAGGCTGGCTTTCTGTAGTCTTCTGCACATCTGTCCGTTGAAGTGTTTGTCTGACGAATAAAGATCTACAAAAAGGTGACTGAGAAAACATTAAAGGATCTGCGTGCAGGAAAGCGTGTGTGTGAGTGTGAGAGCGAGAGAGAGATACGACGAAATGAGCGGAGTTTGTGTCAAAAACGCTCGATATCGACAGAAGCTGGGTGGGGGGGGGGAGGCTGGCCCCGGCACTTGGCCTGTGGTGTATGGGGGGGGGCAGTCAGCTCACATCTTGCACATAAGTTTAGATATTGTACCGACATGTTAGAGATTATAATGTTTTGTTTTAATACAGATTTTGGGCTCTCTGTCATATTTATTGTCTGTATGGGGAACAGGGCCCCTGTTTCTAAAGAGCTGATTGACGATTGTCAGGAGATACCCAAGGGCACTGTGCTATAGATACACCGGTTTACAGTTTGCAGAGAAACTCTTTGTGATGTGCCAGAACGCAAATACTACTGTTCGTGGGGTTATTACTATTACGGTGAAATGATTATTGATGATATTATTCTATTAATGATTATTGTTATTAATTGAAATTTTATTTTATTTTAATATTGTTTTGAAACTGCTAGGAAATGTAAGTGTTGGACTGCTTATATAAACAAACAGTTCAAAAATAAAAGGCCCTTTTTTTTTTCCGTGTAACTATGATTATTGTCTGTGGTTTAATGGGCCCCAGTGGCCCTTCTGGAGAGTCTATGCTGTTCTCCACACTCCAGCGTACAGTAGTGACACAGATCTGTTGGTGTCTGTGGGTTTATTTTGGTGTCGTCATTGTCCAGTGTTACAGTAGCGGTGTCCCTGACATGGAGTCTGTGGGAGACGCTGGTCTCATGTGCTGCTCCCTTCCTGCCTCGATGCATCCCTGTGCGAGCAAAGTCAGCGAGAGTTCTGGCTGCTGTCAGGATTTGAGTGTGCAAGCTCTCTCTCTCTCTCGCCCGCCCACTGACCTACGCCTTCGTCTCCTTGCCACCCTTTGGTACCAAGTAGCTCCTCCCACTTTCCCAGCTGTTCCTGTCAGTCGAAAAGGTGACAAGCATCTGACAGCCTGCAGCCTGTGGGGGAGGGTCTCGGATGGGGGGTGTTGCCATGGGATTTGACAGCAGATTGTTTGATGGACAGGATGGTTTATAATGTGCTTCATATTTATTTATAGTTTGGTCCTGTTCTTCCTGTTTCTCTGCTGTGTCTTTGTCTGTGTTAAAGTAGAAACTCCTCTTTTGTAATACAGCCTTTTACTAAGGCCTGCCCTACCAGAGACGCTCATGATTTTATTGGCATGGGAACTGCTGTCGGATCCAATGCATCTCTCCACCTATCCCTGTATTCTGTTCCACTCTCCTACGTCCCTGTCATCTGTTCCCAGACCGTTTCCCAAAATGCAACAGCCTTCCCCCCCTCCCCCCATGGTTCTGGATATTTATAGTAGAGTCTTGTGTTAACTCAGCTGCTTATCTTATGTGTGTGTGGGGATGTCACTCTATTCCTGACTCCTCGTCATTTGCTCCTGTCCTGTGTGAGTGTGTGTGTCTGTGAGCGTGTGTTCTGTCCTCGGGTCCCAGGATTTAGGCGGAGAAGCAGAAAACAAGAAGAGTTTGGATTTTGTCTCCCTCCCCTCCCCCCCTCCAAAAAAAAGTAAAAAATCACAGGTAGGTGGTTGGTCCCGTAAGTTTTTAAAGTTCACCGTCAAGGTTTAGGCAAATGGAGAGGCTGCAATGGTTTATTTATAGGTGGAGACTGTTTTCAAGATGGGCCACCAGTATGGGTTGGGGGAATGGTCCTTGTGGACCTGAAGCTGGCTGTTTCGGGGAGAGCATTTGGATTGCAAGTTGCTTGATTTCCAGTTTGCCGGTCTGGTTAGATAGCCATGCTGCACACTTTAGTGGACAGCAACGGGCTCAAGACTGCGCCCCAGGCAGGGAGCGTGGCCGGCTGCTGGGGCTGTACTGGGGCTGTACTGGGCCGGCTTTGTTGGGAGCTTTCCGTCTGGCTTCAGGCTTAGAGGTCAAAAACACCGACTTCCTGAAAGCACTGATTTCCTGCCAGCATGTCGGTGGTTAATTAGCTGAACATGTGGTTTTTGATCATATAAAATAATATAAAGCTTAGCTGGTTTACACAGAAACGTCCAATCCGTGTCTGTGTCACTGTAGCCAACATAATGTGGGAGTTCACTCCAGTGTAGATGGTCGTAAGGGAGAAACTCGTACGTCTTTCACTTCGTCTAGTGGTGCTTTAGTTATTCCTATTCTCCTTGTATGTTAGCTCTTCCGAATGGGTGACAAACGTAGCGCCTATGAAATTTGCCTGTTTTGCAAATCCCAGGCGAGCCTTCGGCCCTTTAGCATATAAAAACTACTTTGCATTTAGGTGCCAAAATGTACCTGTGAGCTGAAAGTATCTTGTTAAAACTCTAAGACTTTAAGAAATTGAGTGTCGTAATGTGCCAGACGTTGGCAGTGAAGTTGATAAAGTCCCAGAAGTAGCAGCAGTACATCTGCCGTCTGTCGGCTTTAAGGGACGTGCATCGAGGACGTATCCAAACCGGCCTGTACTCAGTGTGTTTAGAACCTAATTACTGTGGGGTTCTGTCTGCTTTGTCCTACTTTAATAAACCGCATTAATTGTTTGGGTGGGTGGCATACATGCTTATGACACTGGCTTAATGGTTTGTGACACAATAATAGTCTGATCTAACAGTTTGGGGGCTCAGTCTGCAACATTCTGTTGTTAGCTTCTGCTAGACACGCATGGACAGCCAGGTTTATTTTCTGTTCGACTGTCCAAATGATCTTTTAGAGTGGTGATCCTGTTATTGTCCTGACTGCTTTGGAATGGAGATCCGAATGACATTTGTCTGCATTTGTTTTGTTTAGCATATGCTTTTGTCCAAAGCAACGTACAAGTGAGGCAAATAGCACGTTACAAACAAAAAAAAATGAGTGGTGGGATTGGGCTCCGAGCTGAACGCGAGGCCTTTTGGATGCCATCTTTGGTGTTTCTGTACTGATTAGCGAGTTCTCTCCTGGCAAGGAGCGCTACATACACGGGCAGAAGGAATTCATTTGCAAAAAATTGTTTATGCATGCATCTTTCTATGCAGACGTTTCCCATTATAGTTTTGTTTATGTATTTTTTTTCTTGACAGAGATCGTTGTTCATTCCTTGGCTGTTGAAAAGTATAATTTTCTCTTTAATATTACTGTCATAATAGCTTTGAACCAAAATCGATTTTAATCCCTCCATCTCAAACAATAACTGGCTTTTTGTTCCAGCATATAAAACAAGGAGACTGCATCCCTGCTTATCCTGGTAAGATTCATCAGATAAAAATAATGGGTATCGATATTGCAATTTGAAAATTGCAGCAACATATGACCACATTAAGACTATGGTGTCAAGTTGTGATTGCAGAAGAGAGGATCTAGCTGTTGGCCAGACCGAGGTGCCGCGGGGTGCTCTGCAGCCGCGGGCGCGTGCTCTGCAGCCGCACGGCTCGCCGCATCAGTGGGGCAGGTCCACGGGGCTGCTTGCCTGGCTGTAACCATGGTAATCTTCATGGTCTTTGGTTGCTTTTGCCAGGAGCTGTTCCTTCCCCAGACATGGAACTTCCAAGATGATGACACCAAAGTAGAAGAGAAGAACCTTTCAGCTTGTGCCAAGGCCTCATTTACTCGCCAACAGCTCCCGCCTGGGTTGGGTCATTTTTCACCCGAGGTTCTGCTCATGGTCCACAACAGATGTTGCTGTAGATTTAGATGTTCTTTAGACTGAGTCACCTTGTGGTTGGCTGATGTCTCCGATGAGAATAAGCCCTGCTCTCACCATTAACTGATGGCACCGTTTTTGTAGATATACTCGCATAACCACTTCACGCATCAGCCGTGGAAATTAGCAAAGACACCTAACCACAGCAACCTATTGGCCGACCCCCCCCCATTCTGTGCTGTGCTGTGTCAGGGGCCTGTAACTCCCTCTGCTGCAAGTATGATGTCATTCAGATAAGGGTCAGAGATTCTGATGTACTTTCAAATGCCTGCTGCCCATATAACAGCACATCTGCACGCTTCTGAGGTCCTGGTGCCGCTCTGCCGTCCTGCCTTGTGCTCCTCGTGTTTTGCTCACCGTGCGACTTTATTTTCAGCATGAATCATGTTCCGTGATTTATGGACGTTCCGTAATCTGTTTTTGAGCAAGACGATAGAACATACATACTAAACAAGTATGTCATGAAGACAAGAACAGGAAAAAGATGCATACAGGAAGTGCTGGCGGAACTGCGAAAAGTACAAGAAATTTGTCAATTAGTAGCTTAAACATCAGCCCCTCTGCCCTGCCCCCAACATTAAAACACTGTCGGCCACACCCCTGCAGGCCTGCAAACTTCACGACAGCAGGCAGCGTGTGTGAACTCGCTTAGGGATGAGCTCTGACAGAAGCCTCTCCGGTGCCGTTCAGTGGTCGCCTGGTGTTCCGTTACTGTGCCCCCCGCCCCCCCGGGCAGCTGTCCCCTCGCGCCGTGCTGTGGCTCAGGGTGTGTTCTAAAGGTGACACCGCTTCATCACCGCCGCCGCCCAGGGCGTGTTATGGGGGTGGGAGCAAAGCAATGTCATTACATGGTTATGTATTAGCATGGCCCCCCAGAGTCCTACCTCCACGCAGATCGTTTCACCTTCTGCATCAACCCGTCAATGACAAGGCGGAATCTATCAGGCGGCCATTCAGAAGGAAGGAACCTCCAATCTGCATTTGGATGCGCGAAACGTTGGCCTTGATACATGTGCCCGTAAAAAGAATCCTTTTTTAATTGAATAGTTTTTAGCACTGAAGGGTTTATTGCAGTATACTGTGTTCGAGTGTGCCCTGCAATGGGCTGGCCCCCGTCCTGGGTTGGTTCCTGCCTCGTGCCCGTAGCTTCCAGGATAGGCTCCGGACCCCCCGTGAACCAGAAGGATGAGCGTTCTGGAAAATGGAGGGATTGATTTATTGTACTTTTCAATACTACAAAAAAGTGGTATTTCATGCATAAATGTCACTGAAGCTAATTGTCTGGCTGATGAAACATTTTGCTTTAATGACAGATGACATGTTTCTGAGAATCTCTTTGACAGTGAGTATTATATGAGCATTTTTGAGTCTCATGGCAGGAGACTCTCAGCCGCGGTCACCAGGCTTTGTGGTTGCTGTCAGTTTCTCATCTCTAATCTTGTTCTCTTTCTGCTCTCTCTTTCAATCTCTCTTCCCATTCTCAGGTTCACCGTGTCAGTGCTCACACCCCCCCCCATTAAACATACTCTGCTAAGCCTGATTGACCCCCCCT